CGCCGATGCAACGGTTCGAGCGAACCTCGGATTTCTCGGGGAGTGTTTGCGGAGGTAGTTAGGGATGAAGGAGATTCTTCAGCTGGATTATCGTTTGAAATTTTTGAAGCACGGCGATTCGATTTTTTCTGGAATCGTTTTATCGTGGAGATTATTGAGGAAGAGGAATGGAGGATATCGAGGGGAACTGAGGGCGTTGTAACGGTTGTTGGCAAGTTGGAACAGGAGCGTCGCGATCGGATTTAAATCTTTCAAGCGACACCGTGACCGGCTTTGGAAATGACAGGTCACGTGGGCGGGCGAGTTTGTCAGCAGAAGTGTCTCGTGAATGATACACGTTAGCGAAATTCAGGACAGATCGAGTTAATGGTCGAACGGCGGAGCTGCTCGACTGACTTCCGTCCAATGTTCGGAACTGTCGAACAGCGAGCGCCGACGATGAATGTATTTGTCTCCCGGTGTATTGGAAACTTGGGGGGAGTTTTCTTGTTTTCGAATCTTGTTTCGCTTTTCATTACTAAATAATAGGTTCGGGGAGGTACTGCCGGTAAAAAGATCCCGAGCGACGAAGTTTGTTTCGGGACGAGCGCATTTGTCTGCTTCGCGATCAAGACGAAAACAGGGAGAATTCTTTCGAACGAGACGCTCCGGGGAACCGGCCACCTAACGAAGAGCAACTAATCATTTTCGAACGCGAATGTTCCCCGGGAAACAACTGAAACGGCCATGTTCCATTCTGGTCAATTAGACACGGTAACGAGGAAGTTGTTAAACTCTGGAGAATCTTATCTTAATTACGTCCGAAGAGAAAATTTGCTTGAACCTCCTACGGATTCGTTCGAGTGCGAACGACATTTTTCTTTTAATCGTTCGACGGGGCAATTTATAAAAGTGTTTGTTTCCTTAACGAGTCCCGTTTAATGGGACGCGCTTCAACCCTTCGCGCGACACAACGGGGAAGCAACGGCGGAGCCGAAGCGATTAAACGAACGCAATATCGTATTGTAGTCTTCACGGCGAGTATTAACGCTGATGAACAGTTCAACGATAAAACGTTCGAGTGCCATACGTTTACGAAGATTATACCAATCCACTGCGATAACGTGTGCAGTAAGGGGATTAATTCCTGTGGTCAGATTAGAAATTTACTGGAATCGTTCGCTTTCCACAAACAACACCTACATTTTCCTACTAAACACGTTAAATCGACGCTAAACGTACCACGACCGGTCAAACGATCGGCTTTAAATCTGAGTTGGAAGTTCTCAATTTCATTTCATGGTTAATGAGTCCTCAAATTTTTATCTTTCCTTCCGTTTCTGTTTTCATTAGGAAAAATTGATCTAAGAATTACCCGCTTTACACTTGAGATAAAAATTATAAATTTTAACTCATAATTAATCAGTCCAATTTTTGCTTTTCCTCGTTTCTATTTTCACTAGGAAAAATTGATCTAAGAATTACCGGCTTCAAACTTGAGTTAAAAATTACAAATTTCAACTCATCATTAATCAGTCCAATTTTTGCTTTTCCTCGTTTCTATTTTCACTAAGAAAAATGATTTAAGCTTATTTTATAACCAGTTACTTGACCGATTACGATAGAGACAGATAAACGTAAAGCGCCGCCGCGTTTAGTGTTAAAAAGTTAACTGAAATCCGCCGATTCCCGGTATTTATCAACTACATTTATCGATCACACCCGAAGAGCAATATTGACATGCTAGGAAACAGCTCGCAGAAACAGCACGTCGAGTCAAAGGACGTAGCAGGTTAGGTCGACGCTCCGTTTCTTCGATTTTCCGCGGTATTTCTGAAAAAAACCTTCGAAACTTGTGCTCCGGCGAGGTCATTAGAGATCGGGGCGGCTGGGGGTGAACGAGAAACTATTTCGCCGGGTCCGCGCGAACAATTACCACCCACCCTTCTCGATTTACCGGCGCTTTTTCCATCCATCGCGTCGTGTTTCCACGTTTTCTTCTCCGCGAGTTCTCCGCAAAGATCGCCGGCAGGGGAGGAAGGTTGCATCGTCGACGATAAATTGAGGCGGTTCGAGCCTTCGAAACTTTTCCATTGACGAAACGAAAAGGGCTCCGGGAAAGTTATCGAATCGATACGTCAAAGCCGACGCCGTCGCACCCGTTCGATCCTCTCGAACGGAACTGCGGCGCGGGAACGGCGGTCGATCCCTCTCCGGAGACGAAACAAAAGAAAAGAGTGTCGGGATTGTTCGAACGGCCAGCTGTTGACGTATTTCACGTTTCAACCCTTTGCGGACGAAGATGGTTTAGAAAACACGGTACCTTTCGCGGACTCTGATGAATTAAATATTCAATGCTTAACCGTTTGTGTTGTGCCAAAATTCTGTTTATCAGTATCAATTATAATTTTCTTACTATGTTTCTCAAGAAATAAATCAAAGTAAATTTATTTGAATAAATGTTATTTTTCGATATTTTTTTGTAATAACACAGTATTTGTGATCTCATTAGGTAACTACTCTTATTAATTTTTTTGATATATAAACGGTCGATATATAAAATGCTCAATTCTCGTGATAATCGAGGTTCAAACGTTCGAACGTGTACAAATTCGAATCACATTAAAATCTCACAAAGCAATGGTTCCTGTTATTTATTTATTTTCGTGGCTGAACATTAATCTCCGATCGATACGAGAGCACCAGACACCACGCGAAAATGAAAACGAGAATGAATGAGAATTCAGAAGCGTCTGACAGACGCACCACGGTAGTTAAGGGTTAACGCCGGCCGTTTCCGTTTTTATTATTACATCAGGCGTGACCGTAAACGTCGTTTACGTGACGGACGCACGCGCCGCGGCGAGATAAATTATCGGCGGCGGGAAAATTGGCAAAACAGTTTCATTGCGCATCGGAAATCGCGCGAGCACGCTCGTTTTAAGCGCGTCGAACGCGGCACGATTTCATAGAGCAACGCGTACGGAATGGAAAAATTGTAATATTAAATCATTCGATCGAATTGCATTATCATTATTCCACGTTCATCTATCTAAACGTCGCCGCATTAGCCGGCATTATTTATTTAATCGTCGTTCAATTAAGTGAACTACGGTAATCCGATTCGGACGAGGGTCACCGACGACCCCATGGCAATTATTCAATATTAATCTCTTTTAACACTAACCACACCACCACTTTTCCTACTGTAATTACTCAAACCGGCTGCGAAATAGAGATAAACAAATTAGACGATAAATTTTATCTCAGCGGAAACAGAAACAGAGGAAGGACGAAAATTGAGAAACCAATTAATCGGAGAATATAGGAGTTGATATGAAACTCAATGAACAAAAGAAACCGCAGAATATTAAATCCGGCGATTCGACCGCTTCCCGGTACGGTTTAACCTCGCTCCTTGAACACCGGGACTTTTAACGATTCCTACACGACCGTCGCGGCACGAGAAGCTTCGCGAGCTGGAAAGTTATTTATCAGCGAATATGTAACATATAAAACACGGTAATAAGCGCGTCCGCTTCGACAAGATAAGGAATTGTTTCACCGCGCGTTATCTCCGAACTCGGGAAATATCGATCGTGGATCAAAGTACAAAGGTAGCGTATTACGATACACCGGTGAACCGAACACATAGAAGCCACAAAAAAAGAAACATCTAATCCCACTGAACCGTTCGAACTCTATCGCCGAGCGATCTCCGATCCGCCGAAAGAACCGGTAATTACTTATTCCAGCTGCGTAAGCCGCCTTACACACGGATCATCGATAAATCACCGGCGTACACTTCACCCTGGCAAAATATAATCCAGCCGTTCCCCGGCGCCCATATTTCTGCCGCCTTCCCGATCTGTCCATTAAAAAGAAGACAAAAAGCGCGCGCCGTCCGCCGAAGATGAATATCTCCCATCGAACGGGGAAAACCGGGGAGAGAACCGATCGCGTCCGACGTCGATCGAACTTAATTTATTCGTATCCGGTGTCGCCACCCCTCCCGGTCGGGGGGTGGTTAGGGCCGCGGTAACCTACCCCGTTCCACGACATGGCGGGCATGCGACGGTGTTCCAGCGGAGAGAGTCGATTCCGTTTTGCCGGCTCGCTGCGTTGAACGGCGATCGGGAGATCGCCGCGGACTCGATGGGTC